GCTCGGGTAACATTTTCTATATGTGCTTCAAACCAGGCTCCAATGCTGACATCACGGGCATCCACCAATTCGTTTATCTAAAAGGAAAATTCAGTAATGAATTTATGCTCATTTTATGTAATCCCAATTAAGAAAAATAAATACAACAACTTACTATGTTATTGCTTAACTTTGTTATCAACAAAACAATCAACTCTAGTACCTAGTTAAGCTTGAGGAAGTTCAAAGTAACATGCAGTCATGAATATATTGCACTTTCAGTATTTTATTACTCATCCCTCATTAAAGTTTAGTATGAATATAATCTGTATGTAATTTTACAAAGCAAGGCTAAATTACTTTTTCTCCCTCCAAAGCTAAAAGTTACCTTAATCTCTTTCATTATCCCTTCATCTTGGTTCACCAATTGTTCTTTATGGCTAAAATTATGCTAACTAAATAGACAGCATGAAAATACTAGCTCACAATCAAGGGGTTTAAACACTTCCCTCAGCCTACAACTTGGAATTGTTACTTAATCTTCTAACTTTCTGGCCTGCAAGACTCAAGACAAGAGAGGAAGAAAATAACTCCAACAAGGCTGCCACCACAGTCAGCCAAAATATTATGACTGTAAGAAATGGAACTAACTCCCAGAATCTGTCCCTCTTGTACTCACAATGGTATTAAGCAACCAAACCACTTAACCGTTCTAAATCATGTTTCATTTTCTCAAGTCTTCAGCTAATTAAGCGGATGTTACTTTAGTAATATTGAGAACATGGAAAAAACCAAAATATCTGAAGAGCACTACATGAACAGTACACCAAGTATAAGACAATTATTCCAACAGAACTCATGAACAGCCATACCATAGAAAACATGTATAATAAATGAGACACACATATATATTTATGTATGTATGTATGGTTTAAGCTACAGCCTTTGTCAAGTACCAACATAGTGGAAGACATACCAATTCTTACTCAGCCCCAAGGCTAGTTTCTAAAACTGAATAATCTTGATGTATTTGCACAGGAGAAAGCCAAAAATATACTCAATGACTTCAAGTATTTAGAGTGAAGCAGTCCTCAGATATCCAAGCATGCAACTGACAGCCATTTCCACTGATAATTTTATTCAGCAAAGCAACACTTTGTATTTTACTCTTTTCACTCACCTTCTTAAAATGACCCCCAAACTTCAGTCCCATGTAAAATGCCAACATGTTTTTTAAAAATTTTTATTCTTACAACCTACAGTATTCAGAGTACAGCTTTTTTACCATGATTAAAATTTCAGCCACATAATGAACAAACCAGAGAAGGAGGATAGCCTCATTTTAAATCTATCAATTTTAAACATAATCAGTGGATTCTGGCACTTCTAGAAGGAGCCCTCACAAAGGCATTCCTACATAACCTTACATGTTTGAATTAGTTGTCACTGTTTGTTTACTTCCTCCTCTCAAGAATAGTTGAGCGACACACACACACAGAGGATTTCCCCATCTGCTGCTACTTCTTGCAACCAATTATCAAAGTGCCATAGAAGCCATGCTAGCCAAGTCAAAACTCAGACACAGAACAACAAAATAATTAGAAAAACATAAAATAAATCAGTGCAAACTCACTTAATCATTTCCGTCCAATGCATCCTTCCATAATTTGCTGAGCATACTTACACAACAGACTTCCCACCCTTGTGAAAAGTTAGGGCAAATAATTATTACCACAGACCACTAAAGAACATCAGACAACTACTTTGTTAGTGGTGTCTGCTTTAAGACCTGGGCAGCTCTTTGTGAACAGTATTAAACAAATGATGTAATTAAAATCAGGTTCAGTTTGTGTATTTTTCTTCCAAGTTAGTTAGGATTTTTCAGCTAAAAATTTTTTACTACAGTCAGAGATCTTTGGATGACAAGTTATGTAGACTAACTGAGACTCAGAAGGGGAAACATGCACACGCTTCTGAATGAGATTTGGGTTTTCTAACATGGTTCCTACATGCCCAATCAGTGTTAGTGTAACTCCTCTCTTGTAACCTGACTTGTATTCGTCCTTTTGCCACTGCAGATCAGCCATAGTTACCTATATATACTAAAAACATGAAGTAGGCTGAAAAAGTAATTGATTCACAGGTAATGAAGGGAAAAGTGTTAGTTCTCTAGTATTAGAGATTGCAAAAATTCCAGTTGACTCAACAGGTTTCCCCGAGTATGTTTGCCAATATCACCATTCCCTGTTCTATTCTCTGTTTTAATCCTGAATAAAGCAGCTGAGAGACTGATACGCTTTTTAGCATTCTCGAAAATATACATTTTAATACTCCTTTCCTTTGGTCAACTGATGTTCTGCAGCCTCTCATGTCTCTAGTTTCCTCATCATACTTTCTCATATTACCTTTTGCACACATTGCTTAATTGCAAAATTCATCAGGACTGAAGATGTGGGGGTTTTCCAGTGTAATAAATGGAAAGAGGGGGGGAAAAAAAAAACCAAAAAACCCACACAAGTTTGTGTCTCCATATTCAAGCTACTGATTTTTTGACTCCCTGATGGCTCAGAGAATGACTAAACCTCACTGCACAGAATGCTACATTAATATAGAGTAACTTACCGCTTGTCCTCATTACCTGAAACATTAAGTAACGACCTACCTGAAACTAAGACAGCTTCTCATCAGGATGGCAAGCCTAAATAACAGCATTCCTCCAACAGAAATTACCTTGTATACATATGGCAGAGTCAGCCTCCTTCCCTTCTCTGTAATTTTAGACATTTTCTAGCAAAATAATTACTGTTACGGCTATTTCTTAATCAAGAGACACCTGAACAGAAGGTAAAATGCTGCCATTTCCTATATATACACATCCTACTAAATATCCAGTAAGCTAGCAATCTGGAAACCGACCATTTTCTGTTTAAATTAAACTTTTAGTATTATGATGCAATCCTACATGACAGTAATTGAAAAATGCAGTGAGGTATAAAACTAACAGTGCCTATGATATACATGACTCCTAAGAAAGTATATAATAAAACAGCAATCATTAAATCACATACAATTTAAAGAACTTGTGCATTTCCACAGTTTATCTAGTTCTAACGCAGCTGTGCTGGTTTTAATAGGGATCATTATTTCTCCTCATATTGTCTAGCATGAGGCTGTGTTTCGGTTTGTAGTGAGACATTCACAGAAACCATTTTGTTTTGAACACCGTGGTCTGGTAAAGTGTGTCTCTGCTGACTGCACTGCTGCAGCCCACAGCAGATCTGAAGCTCGGAGGCGGTGAGGAGGAGCCGAACCGGTGAGGGGCCCTGGTGTTGCTAATTTAGGACAAGAAGAAAGTAGTCTGATTGGCCGCAAGTTCGCCCCTCACCCCAGCAGGAACACTGGGCCACTGGGATTGGCTGGGACTGGGACTGGCTGCAAGTTACCACTTCTGAGGAAGTGCCCTACAGAGGGAGAACAAGATCGAGAGCAGGGGCCAGGTGCCTAGGACTGGACCACCATCCAATCACTGTGGGAGCAGCAGGACACTGCTGGACTCAGGTGGTGACACTCCTTCTCCTCTCTCTATCTACTCTTCCTTTCCCTTCCTCCCCTTCTCCTCCCTCTAAGAATCCTCTACCCAGGTACTTGATGATTCACCCTCTTTCCACTGGGGCAGCCTGTCACAATAAGGTTTACTCTGTGCACCCGAACCCTGCTTTTGGTTTGGACTGTTTGACAGGATCCACATTTAATAATACTTATCGGAACGATACACAGTTGTGCGGTGAAAAATGTTAGTAACACACTACTGTGTGTTTTGAGTTGTTGCTATAGAATGTTTGTATCAAGTCCAGGACTTTTTCGGTTTCTCATATTGCCCCTCTACAAGATGCTGGGAAGGGACCCAGACTGAACAAAGGGATGTTTCATGCCATCGAACGTCATGCTCAGTGTATAACTTCAGGGGATTGGGCTGGGGGTTCTCACTCTGGGTCTGGCTCGCAGGCTCTCTAGCTCTCAGGCTCTCGCTGCTCAGGGACTGGCTTGTGTGTCACTCAGCAGGCAGCGAGCAGTTGCATTATTTGTTTTCTTTTCCAACACTTCCTTGAGTAGTGGTAGTATTACTTCCATTACATATTATTAGTAGTAGTTTTACTATTATTTGTGTTTTCAGTATTATTAATATCACTATTTTATTTATTTTCAATTATTAAATTGTTCTTATCTCAACCCACAAGTCTTCTTGTCTTTTCCTCTGGGGGAGGTGGGACCTGAGTGAGCAGCTGTGTGGTACTTGGTTGCTGGCTGGGGTTAAACCACAACAGCAGCACTGAAACACTGGTATTAAAATAAATATTTGGAAAGCTTGAGAAAAGTAAGTAGGGGAAAAGCCACATTTTTCCACAGACTACAAGATTCTGTTCACAGAAAGTATTTCTGTTTCACAGGTGCTCTAAAGTTTTTGGAGAACATATGTGTCAGAGTTTATGAACTCTCCTGAAACCTGCAACACTAGTGAGCCTCGTACAGAGACGCTGTCATGACTCTGCAAGTGTCAGCATAAATGAAGTCAATTTGAATCATATCAAAACGGAGAATTATGTCAAATCATGACAAAAAGCAGTAAGGATACACAGTTACGCAATAAAGTGATATACATTTTTAACAACAAAATAAAATCCACAAGTGTAAGGCAAGTTTCTAGCTTTTGAAGATTGTACATACCTTGTACAATCCAATGCCAGGATCAATGAGAAATGTGCGAGATGATGTAGATGGCTGACTGGGTGATCCACTATTTGTTTTTTTGACTTTATTCTTGCAGTTGGAAACAGCACAAGGATTGACTTCTCCATCCTGATCTGTCACAGAAGCAGTGGTAGCAGCTTCAGAATCAGAGCGTATCAAAAGCTGAACTATGTCATTTAGTCCAACATTGTAGTCAAATAGAGTGTGTCCATCTTCCAGCTGTCAAAAGAAAGGTACACTTGTAAAATTCTACCTTGAGGTACATAAGTAGTTCCAAAATATTCTTTTTATGGATAATAATTGTGCAGACCAGAAGACACAAGCCATCTATTTCAGGTAAATAAAAACCTATGTCTTGAGTATATGCAAAAACAAACTCTCATGAAGTTACCTGGAGCCATGATTTCATCCAATGAAAATCACTGAAGGCTTAAAATTATAAAGACATCTTTACAGAATTTGGACGCTTTAATTACCCATCAACATCCAAGAAAATGCAGTGATTTTCTAATCAAAACCAGCATAGGTTCCACGCTGCCACTTGCATGTTGCAATAACTATGAATACATGTGAGAATTTTAAAATTAACAATCACATTGTGTACATTTTAGCTACATAATTTCACAATTCTCTCTTTCTCAATCTTTGCTAAAAAGCAAGACAGTACTTGGTGCTTCCCTAACATTTTGCAAATTATTTCCTAAATAAATGGAGTTGTGTGTGTATGAGGGTTTTTTTATATTAGTTCACTTTTCAAAAATGCAAGATCTGAAGATATTTTACAAGAGCAACTGCACCTAGAGGGAAGTAACATCAAAAATACCAGGCCTTCAATATTATTAAGGGAAATCTCCTAAACTGAGAACATTCAAAACCATTTTTATTCCAGTTTTTGTCAGGTTCCCCAGCCCCTTGCCCCAGGATCAAAACAACACTACTTACTGAAAGTAAGCCTTTTAACTGGTCAGTTTAAAAGCTATTTTAACAACTGAAGAAACATGCACTATGTAGACCTCCCTCAAATAAATTTGTACATCTGGCCCCACTATATTCCAGATGCAATCAGATCTTCCAGAACACCAGAATAGGAATAGAACTAGATTTTCTTATCATATATAGCACACAGTTACTAAACATTATTTTTGGCCCCATTCTGCACAGCTTTAAGATACTTATTATTACTTTCTTTGTTTTACCTGATGATCTTGCCTACCTACAATTAAGCTAAGAAAGTCACTGCCAAAAATGCCAAGTTGTATGCCAGTAAAAAGGAAAAACAGGGCGTAGTGACCGCTGCTTCTCTGCTCAGTTAAACACTCATAATGACGTACAGTATCTTTGACGCAGAGAGTTCATTTACCTAGAAATATAATGCACTGCTTTGGGAAATCTAGAGTTTTATTAGTTACATTTTACTTTACATTGCGGTGGGAGAAAAATGTGTATGACTAAAATCTCCCACTAGTTTTGCAACAAAAAATTACCCAACCTTTTTCCAGAATAGGTGCTATTTCAACGTCATTATTTCAGGAATCTTTTCAGAAAGATTTGTTTTCCTGAGCTTATGGGTAGTATCAGTTCAACAAGAAAAAGCAGGGAGCAAGAAAGAACCGAAAAAAATAAGGAAGTGGGAAGGAATTCTCCAGCTTCTCAACAGCAGAGTTTTCCGTAACATTCAAATTATCTGAGGATAGACAAAAGTGGAAGACATTTCTTCCTGCAACCTTTCTGCTTTTTCAAAGCAACATTAAAGGGCAGAGGACAGTTGTGGACATAAGCTGATACTCAAGAAATTAAATGGTTGTTCTGTGAATTTAAGATCTGTGCAAAAACATTGCTCTCCGTACTGCTGATAGCTGCTGCATCCACAGCTGGGATGTGTGAACAGGAGTAGCATCATTTGTTTCAATGTAATTTAAGCTGACCCAGCTGTCTGGTCCAACAGCTATGGGAATGACCCTGGTTCGGCTGTCTGTTTTCAATCTAGTTCAACTCACAGCAAATAAAACTCAGTATTTTGATGCTGTAACTATTAAGTGAACACAAGTCTCAAAATTGAACCCTCCAGCAACTGTTACTCTACACATGACTATCAACACTGCCTGTTATGCCTGGAGCATTAAGCTACAGCATCATACTGAGCAGGAAGCTACTCAAGCAAGTTTAAGTAACCTTTCCCATCCCACCATCTCATACATACCGATGCTTTTGACAAGTCTTTAACGAAGAGGGCAGAAGCGCTCCTGCAGCCCTATGACAATCCAGATCTAGGGGCTTTTCACACCACAACAGCAAAAATACAAACGTCTTAAGATTATTAAATAAGTTTAAAAACTGCTATTCTTAGATTCAAACTACAAATAAACCCAAAACAAAGATAAATTATCTCCTTGCCATAATACATGGCGGCGGAAGGGGGGGTGG